TCTTTTTTGGGGTCAATATCAGCAATGCAGTTCATACAACGATAAACCTAATCCGAATTATAGAGCTACGACAACAATCAAACCCAAACGAACAAAATGTTGAATTGAATCGTACCAGCCTCTACTGGGGGTTATTACTCATTTTTGTACTTGCTGTTTTATTTTCCAATTATTTCTTCAATTAAGAAAAGGAGAGAGAACTAAAATAATAGACTAATCGTTCTAGGTATTCTTTCTCTTACCCCATTCGGAAGGATCTCATCTCATAATTATCCATGACTGTTTATGTCTCTAGCATGACCACTTGATGAAATGTGGAGGGAAGTGGGGTAAATGGCCGATACTACTGGAAGAATTCCTCTTTGGATAATAGGTACTGTAGCTGGTATTCTTGTGATCGGTTTAGTAGGTGTTTTCTTTTATGGTTCATATTCCGGATTGGGTTCATCCCTGTAGTAATCGGATGAATTGAGTTGTAGACATGAAAGCGTAAGAACTCAACGGATTCCCTTCTTTGTTTGTCTGATTTGAGGGAGAAGGTCCCGTTGAGTTCTTAATAATTAGAATATTTTTTTTTATAAGTTCATTGAAGAAGTTCTATTTACTCAACAGATTTTCCCCTCCTCTTTTATTTGTCCACCACTTTTTATTTATAGTATACGTAATTATTATAAGATAAGAATAAATAAAATACGTAATAACTATAAAAAAGTTCTGATACGTCTGTAAAAAATAGAAACTAACACTAGGAATGTTTGACGAACAGTATCAAGAATCATTATTATTTCGACACAAGAAAAGGATTTTTCACACCCCTTTCTTGTGTCGAAGACTAGGAAGACGAATAACCCCTCCCAGAAATATTTGTTCCCTTCAATTATCCGTTCTATTTTGCGTTTACTTTTGTATAGGATCTAGCCGAAGTCCATTGTATTAGACTCAAATGCATTTTATGACATTTTAATCTGCCAATAGCAACATAATAACATCACCCCAAATTTTTATAAAAAAACAAAAACAAAGAAAGAAGGGGTCAAGTCAAATAGTCTTCTTCACAATCTACATACTGTGGCTAGGAATGTGGTACAAGGAATTCCCGGCATCTCGTAGAAAAAGAGTATAAACAAACAAAAGGCTTTTTAGAATTTTATTTTTTATCATAGATAATCATAATTACTAAAAAAAATTTGGTTCTTTTTACAAACTTGAGGTCGATAAATCCGCGAGTCTAGAAATTCATTTCGGACAATTGAACCTTCTCGAACTGTTTCTTTTTAAGAACCAAAAATATTTGTGCCAAAATAACAGATGCTAAGAAGAACAAAAGGCCTTGTACACGTAATGGATCTTGAAGTACTATTTCTGCATCTCCCTGACCAAATCCGCCCACATTAGGATTACTTGTCAACGGCTGCTCAAATTTGATAGATTCGCCTTCTGAAACAAGAAGTTCTGGCCCCGGAGGGATAATATCAACCACTTGACGTCCATCCGATGCATCCGCTATGGTTATTTCGTATCCCCCCTTTTCTTTTCGTAGGATTTTGCTTACTATACCGGATGCTGTAGCATTATAAACTGTATTGTTACTCTTGCTCCCGTCAGGATAAATCTGGCCCCTTCCCCTGTTTCCGCCTACGTATATAGGATATTTTAAGAAGTGAATGTCTTTCTTAGTAGCGGGGTCCGGGGAAAGAATAGGAAACGTGATTTCACTATATTTCTGACCAGGAACAGGGCCTATGACAAGAATATTTTTTTGATTTGGGCGGTAGCTCTGAAAAGACAGATTGCCCATCTTTTCTTTTATCTCGGGGGAAATACGATCGGGAGGGCTAATTCAAAACCCTCTGGTAAAATAAGAACAGCCCCCACATTTAAAGCCCCTTTTTTACCATTAGCAAGAACTTGTTTCAGTTGCATATCATAAGGAATTCGAACAACTGCTTCAAATACAGTATCGGGAAGTACCGTTTGCGGAACCTCAATATCCACTGGTTTATTAGCTAAATGGCAATTGGCGCATACAATACGTCCAGTCGCTTCTCGTGGATTTTCATAGCCCTTCTGTGCAAAAATGGGATATGCATTTGAAATGGATGCACGAGTTATGATATATATCATGAGCGATACGGAAATAGATCGAGTAATCTGTTCCTTTATCCAAGAAAAATTATTTCTAGTTTGCATGGTCCAACCATTGATCCCGAAAATTTATACAATAAATTGGGGTAGGTCACTAATGGAGTTTCCTATCCACGATTCTGTTATTTACTGGAATAATTTGACTGGATTAATATATAGGATGAATCTCCGGGATGGGTAGAAAGATAAAGAGTGAGTACGATTTTCAATGCTTTGCTTATGTACAACTGCAAAGTAAGAAACATTCTAATTGGATTAGGTAGATAATTTTTCAGTCATTCATTGAATGATAAATCACTACAAGTGACGGAGATACGCGATTTAAATAACGGAAAATCCAATATTTGAAAATTGTATCTAGAATGACTGGAAAAGTGGAAACAAGGCCAGATATAATTTGCTCATTATGAACAAATCCAAAATCCTTGTAGACAAAGCCAATCATCAGTTCCCAACCATGGGGCGAATGAAATCCGATACATAAATCAGTTAATAAAAGAAGAGAAAAAGCTTTTATTGTGTCACTTAAGTTATATAGGAATTCCTGAACCCAAGAGTTAAGAATAACAAGTTCTTTATTACCCAAAAGAGAATAACCACTTAGAATAATGAAACAGATTATATTTGTCGAGAAGTGCAAAATCGTATGAATACGACCCTCGTTGTGTATCTTGATTAATTGGATTGTTTCTTTGTGAATTCCTATACGAAGGTTTTGTAGATGTGTCTCCGAGTATTCCTTAATCATTTCCTCTAAGAAGAGGAGTTCCTCTAATTCTATGAATTTTTCTAGAATACTCTTTTCTTCAATATCATTCAAAAAAGGTTCGGATTGCCTAGTATTCCACCAATTAGTAACCCAGGATTCCATACTTTTTTGAAATGAGAGAGAAATCCACCAGGGCAAAAATACTATAGATGCAAGATATAAAAGAGGAGTGAATGCTTTCTTTTTTTCCATTTTTTCATCTCTGAATTGTTAATGAACCTATCTCATTCGTCGACTCTATGTAATCTAATATTTCTCTCCCGCATCAGTTCTATTACAAGTTATCGAACCTATGAATTTAGAAAAAAATACAGAAATAGACGAAAAATTGGAATGGATAAATAATCAAAAAAGAATGTTTACCTATATCTCAATTGGTCAAATTCGAAGCACATATCTCCTTTCGATGAATGCCCAGAAAAATTGAAATAATGAATAATATTATTCAGATTTTGAGACGAAAGAACTCCTTTTCTATCATTATATAAAAATCTCTAATATTTCGAAAAAATTGAACTTACTCTGAGTAGTCAGGGATAGAATAATTGAGGGAAATTTCTGAAGAATATTGTGAAAAATGAGTGACAAAAAACGACATAAATTTGCTAATTATCATTATAAGAGATTCAATTTTTTGGTCATTAAGGAGCACAAAAAGTATAAAAATAAGCTTCGAAAAAATTACAAGATATGATCTCTAAAGTCTCAATTCCAACAAGTTAAAAGGGGTGGAATTTCCTTATTTCTAAATGGTTGATTATGAGATATTTCGATTTGTTTCTTATTTTTTTATTGAATTGAGTTATGTATATTTCGATACATCTAAATCGATACATCTAAAAGATCCCCAAAATAGTTTTTTTTATACTTGTTCCATATATGTCTGCTTTGACTCGAATGAATGTTCTGAAGAAACCTCAATTAAGTTATGTTATGGAAAAAGAGCATTCTTGCGTTTTTGCCCTCCTGCTGAGAAAGCATTCCGGCTCATTTCTTAAAATACTTCAATTGGTACACGCAAGAAATAGGCCAATTCAGCAGCTTTTTGTTCCATTTCCCGTGGAGTAAAATTCTCATCAGTACGAGTCAATGGAATGGCTCCCTGGCCTCTGATATCCATATAAAGGACACGACGAGCATAAATACCTTCTTTCACTTCTATTCTGACAGACTGAATATCTTTTATAAGAAATTGTAGGAAGACCCGACGATTTTTTCCAGGAAATCCCCAACGAAAGATACACACTATTCCGTCTTTTCTATCAAATCGATCATAACCACTACCTACATTCCACGAAATTGTGCACCATAAATAGGAGCTAATAAAAAGACCCGCGATTCCGTAGAAAGACATCACAATTCCTTGTGGAAAAAAAACTATTTCCTGAGACGGAAATAAAGATATCAAATTTCTACCAAGATAACTCGAGGTTCCAACCAACAAGAATCCTAATGAACCTAAAAAAAGGATAACAGCCCAGCAGAAATTACTTGTTTTTCGAGCCCCCGTTATAGGTTCTATCCATATATGTTCTGATCGACAACTCATACTTGATCCAGTTGATTTTTTTTGGAATTGAGAGAATACCCCAAATGAATTTGACTTTAGTCCTTTTTTTTTCCGAAGTAACTCGCATCAACTAGCACTAGTTTGATGTGATCCTTTAGGAGTAATTCATTAAATTCGTTAGATCTAAACTAATAACATACCCTTCGTACGATCTCACTAAAGATAGCCAAATAGATAGACCAACTTTACAGTTCAGCTATCCGTCAATTCGGGTCTATTTGAAAATAGCTAGAATCCATTGATCCCTATAGCATTTTCTGGAGACATAAGAGTTTTTCGGCGGAAGCCGCTTATACCATATTTTGCTAAATAGATATCTGTGTTATGATACAAGCGTCAGTTTTGAAAAAAAAAAAAATAGATGAGATTTTGTGCCATCGGCTCTAAACAATCTTGTTTTTTTGAACATGAAGAAATAAAGAAGCCATTGCGATTGCTGGAAATACTAGGCCTACTAAAGGCACCAAAACAGAGGGAAAGTTAAGAGTTGTCATAGAATGGCTACCTCGATTTACTATTTGTACCTGTTATTATTATTTATATTTTATATTTATAATATAAAGATATCTTATTATATATAAAGATATCTTATTATAATTTGATAATTCTAAATTGGAATTATTATTATTACTTAATAGCTATTAAGTATAAATATAAGTATCTATCTAAGTGAGTATATAATGTAGTTTTTGATCTTTCTACATGAAAGATTTGAAAGGATATGGATGAGATATTCTTTTCTTCATTTTTTGCTCTTGTCTTCGAATTTCATTTACTAAGCAAAAAGTTTCTTAAAAATTAATTAGATTCTATTTATATTTATAATTATATTGAATATATTGAAGGGTTTGTTAGAATCCCATCCATCAGGGATTCTTAGTCAAAATAGGATTATCGTAAGATATAAAAAAAGAAAAAATTCTATATTTTATAGATTTTCATTATATATGACGAGAAGAGTATATTTTTTTGATTTGCCTAATTTCACGAAAATAAGAATTTCATCTTTTATCTTGTTAATAGAGGCTTCTTGATCAATAATCAGGAATATAGAAAAGGGGCGGATTTTCTGTGACTTTTGATTCTTTATATAATTAGATCTTATGCCAACAAAGAAAACCCCATTCGTCTAATTTTAACTTGGATTCCGATAAACTAATTACTTGTTTGCTCAAAATAATTGAACTTAATGTTCTAATTTTGATTCAAAGGAAAGAAAGTGTGTAGTTGAAATAACTCACTTAGAACGCTTTTTAAAGGATTACGTGGTACGATTAGATCGAATAAGCCTTTCTGGAATAAATACTCGGCCGCTTGTGAACCCTCGGGTACTGTTTTATTCAATGTTTGTTCAATTACTCTTTTACCCGCAAAGGCAATGTAGGCATTGGGTTCGGCAATAATGATATCCCCCAACATACCAAAACTAGCTGTCACCCCACCGGTAGTAGGAGATGTAAGAATTGGTACATAGAATAACTTTTTATTTGATTGATAATCATATAAAGCAGAAGATATTTTAGCCATTTGCATCAAGCTCAAACTTCCTTCTTGCATGCGTGCCCCTCCGGAAGCACACACTATAATAAGAGGTAGAAATTCTTTAGTAGCGTATTCAATCAAACGGGTAATTTTCTCCCCGACTACGGATCCCATACTACCTCCCATAAACTGAAAATCCATAACCCCAATTGCTACGGTAATACCGTTTAGTTGCCCTCTGCCTGTTTGAACAGCCTCGGTTAATCCTGTATTTCTTTGATAAGAATCGATACGATTTTTATAAGGCTCCTCCTCCGAATGAAATTCAATGGGATCCAGAGAGACCATGTCTTCATCCATAGGCTCCCAAGTGCCCGGATCGATCAAAAGTTCGATTCTATCTAAACTACTCATTTTCAAATGATATCCACATTGTTCACAAAGATTCATCTTTGATTTAAAAAATTTCTTATAATTTAATCCATAACAATTTTCGCATTGAACCCACAAATGCCGGTATTGTTGAGTTACACCCATATGAGTAGAACTTTCTGGTATAGTTTCATCATCCGTTGTGATATCCTCGTCTTGACTAATATTTTCACTTTCACTACAAATGGAACTAGAAATGTAATTGTCATTACTGTAATTGTCATTACTGGAATTATCATTACTGTAATTGTCATTACTGGAATTGTCATTACTGGAATTGTCATTACTGGAATTATCGTTACTGGAATTGTAATTAACACTTAGAATGTAATTATCAATACAGATTTCGGACTGAAGATAACTGTCAATGCAACTATTAATGTGATTATTCCAAGTATAC